ACATTAGTAAATTTGTCTATATGCGTATCTCAAATAAAATTACCCCTTTTGCATCACGCTACACCTTCAATAATAATCCGTTGATCGAAGTGGGCGATTTTAAATACTTGGGAGTCAATATTACCAATCGACTGTCGTGGATTAACCACATTGACGACGCTTGTTCCTCCGCCACTAGAAAACTAGGGTTTCTTAGACACAAACTAAAAAACGCGCCAACTTGGATCAAACTTCTTGCATATAATACATTTATTCGACCCCGTTTAGAGTACGCATGCGTAGCCTGGGACCCGTATTTTAAAAAGGAAGTTTATAAACTTGAAATGGTCCAGAGGAGAGCGGTAAGGTTAATCTATAATGCCTATCACAATCTTGATTCACCTTCATCACTTATGGCTACTAACAACATTCCGCTCTTGAAACAGCGTAGAACTATCGCCAGACTCAAGTTTCTTTTCCTGCTTCGTAATCATCAGTTTAATATCGATCCCAGTAAATACATCTCTCCCTCTTCTTCCGGGAAAACCAGGCATGCTCACAATCTTGATCTGACACCTTACTTTGCACGTACTAACCTTTTCAAACATTCCTTCTTTCCGAGAAACATTAGCGAATGGAATGCACTGCCTTCAAATGTTTTTCCTGAACGTGGCATTCCCGACTTTGAAAACTACATGCATCTTTTTGTGTAATCAACACTGTTGATATTTCAATGCTAGATTACCTCATCTTATTATTTCAACTGTGTAGCTTTACTTTTTTGTGCTTGAAACTGTTTCTAGAAGTTTGTTCGCTTTTTTTTTCTAGATATGTATAACAAAGCATCCTATTTGGTATGACTTGTTTTTCAGTAGCTTTGTGTATTCTAACTTGCTGTATAACTTGTTCGCTTTTTTCGCTATGCTCCCTTTTTGTGCCCTTCCTGCTTGGTCTGCGAACTCCAGTATGTAATAAAAAAAGTTAAAAAACTATGAAAAACTGTGATAAATGTTACAGTATCATGGCTAAAGAAATGGCAAGAAGTTTCTAAGAAAGCTTTAGATATGAACATGCCTTCCTCCTGAGAAGTGGAAGAAACGTTCCGTGTCATATCCGTCGTCAACGAAGTTTTCGCGTGCTGATAGGTGTTCGCAATTTGTTTCGCGTTGGTTTTGCATGCAGACAAATATGTGGAGCCTACTTTGGTCGCAAGGAGGGTTGCGCTTCTTGTTTTGTGAACTCTCATTGCTGTGAGATAGCCGGTCAGGGCCGTAATGCCCCGTGTTGAGACTTGTTCTCAACTTTGGCCGTTAGCAAAGGACTTCATCCGCTGCTTCCAATTTTTACGGAGAAGCACGTAGGATTACATGCTGTTTATCAGAGCAAAATATTTTGGTGTGTTTTGTGGTGAAATGGTGCAAATACGTTATTATGCTACCCATTTGCTTGCCTGTCACCACATGTTATTCCATGAATGCTGCAAAACAATCACGCGTGTTCGGTTAGTTTGGCCTGGAAAGAAAGTGCGAATGCATTGTGCACTGTCTGGTTGAACTTTCAGCTTTATTAGCAAACTTTCTTGTGCATGCCCTGGTCACTGTGTAGATGCTTATTCTCGTTGTGATCGCTTTGGTTATTTTCCTATTTCACAGTACGGGCACGCGAAATGTTTGAATCACGAAGACAGAACGAGACAGTACCCTGTGTATACCCAGTGTATACGTCCACGGTCTACAAAACTAAATGAAAAAAAAAATCATCGCAGCAACAACAGTGGCGGAAAGAAGAACGATGGAGAGAGCGACATCGCCAAGAAAAATCGCTAGCTTTTGAGCCGGCCAAGCAGTCACCCCTGAAAAAGGGACCGAATCGGTCCCGAAACGTCAGGTCAGTTTAAGTTTCATCTTTGGACTATCACTTTGCTGGAGACTTTATGTTATTAATGTGGAAGTTCAACCAGCCATCTATCGAAAATATTCACCTATAAGCAGCACGTAATAGTACGTGCTTTTCCGCACCAATCGAAAGTAGCGGATGCAGTCGTTTGCTAACGTTGAACGTTGCGAATAGGAAGTCTCAATAGGGGCACAGGACTGGCCGGCTATTCCACAGTGATGAGAGTTCACAAAACAAGAAGCACAAAGCACTTTGCCACCGAAATGACCTCCACATGTTTGTGTACTAAAAATACGGACGCGAAACGAATTACAAACACCTCTCAGCACGCGAAATCCTGGATGACGAGGAATCTGACCCGGAACGTGCTTTTTGCCGACTTTCGTATTTTCCACGGAGGAAGGAATGCTCGCATCCAAGGCTTTTACAGAAACTTCATGCCACCTCTACAGCCATAATCACATTTTTTCCCCTCGTCCCGGCTTGTATCGACGGTGTTCTCTGTCTCGACTCAAAACGGATAGCGAATGGAAAACAAAGAGCGCCGCGGCAGCCATGACGTTTTGATGACGTCACCGGAATGGTCACATGGGCGAATTGGTTCGACCTGCAAAATAACCGTCCCAGAGTGAACGATGAAAGCTTTGGAAGGCGGTTTGACGCGAGAGATAAACAGGCACTCATACCTTTTTTGATGCTTTTCTTGACATTACTGCGCAGTTCTGCACATCATAGTCGTAAACTTTACCATTTCACTGACTTTAAGAAAAGATATCAGTAGTGCCTGAAGCACTGGAACTGCATATGCATTGCCCACTTTTTGGGTACGAAATATGCTCGACAGCCTTTCACTCTACCTGTATGTTCCGACACTCCTTCCTGCATATTATAAAAAAGGCGACAGCAATAACCATGAAAGAATCATTAAAGAACTCAAGATGTCGAAGGAGACGTGCGCTTATGAGGTTCAGGTGCATGGCCGGTCGCTGACAGATGTGCATTCGCATTTGTTGAAATACATACACCAGTGAGCAGCCTGCTTACTGATCCTCTGTGACGAGTAGTGCATGTGCACTTTGTCCTCACAATGTGTAACTGGTTCCCCAGGCAACAGGAAAATTGGGCACAAATCATTGAACAGCCGGAAGGAGCGAGCAGAAGAAAAAATAAAAGTGAGTGGAATGAATCAAGTGATCTTTTTTGTTGTTCAGTTTAACCCAAACACTACCTTATTAAAACTTTGATAACCTCAAGGCAGACGTCCTGGTCGATGATCTGACAACCAACGTCGCATTGAGAGTAAAATGCTCCTTTGCACAGAGCTTCCTCCCCAACGCCGCAAACATGCTTGGTGGCGTAAGCATTCTTGCCATGTGAAAAAGATGGTCTCAATTCTCATATTTTCACACGTTCAATTCTGTGTTATCCCCACAAAAATGCACACTGCTCGTTTTACCATTTTAATGCGATGAGCAACGGTAATATGCCACGACGGGTTCGTGCACGTGGCCACTACTGGGCGTTTCCTTCATCACTGAGCGAGCCAGAAGCATGGAATTTGTGGCTCTTTTACTCTTTATGGCCGTACAGAGCAATGTGAACGCCCTGCCATATCTGATCCATGAGAGAGTGGTGAATGCACTTGGAAGAATGAGTGGACTGAGCATCAGCGTGTTGCTGGCGAGAAGCTGAATAGCTTGTGAAAAAGACGAGCAAGAAGCCAAGCATCTGGCCTTTTAACGTCACTCAGACCAGGCACCCGAGAAGGCTCTGCCGAGAGTTCACTTTGGTCAACCTCGCGCGGTTGTTACGTGCGCATCCCCGTTTACCAAACATGAAACACATTGTCCTCATTGCACATGAATTTCTTGACGATATGGTTTCACGAATTGATACAGAGGCTCAAGGGTGATCGAAGTTTCCGGAGCCCTCCACTACGGCGTCTCTCATAATCATATGTTGGTATTGGTACGTTAAACCCCACATATCAATCAATATCGGAATGCTTAATGCCGTAGAAGTCGACGATGGTGAGTCGATGTCGACCCCCGGTAGCCGCGTAGCGCAGCCGCAGACAGACACTTCTGATAGCCACGTAGCGCAGGCACAGGAAAGCACAGGAGGGTAGCGCCTATAGGCACGGACGACTGCTGGTCAGCTGGAACAGCTGGACTGCACCAGTCTGTAGTGGAAAGAACCCTTCAGAAGGCGTTCAATTGATACGGCTGTTGCTGAAAAATAGTGCATTTTAGTAAGACACTATACTTAACACAGCTCACTTCGCATGAGTTGTAGATTCAATATGGGTGCATTAATTATTAGAAGTGGATATTGAATACTATGGCCACATGGCGTACGCTGAAAATGTAACATAAACCATTGAGTATTACACGACAAAATTATAATGTGTTTATAAGGCTCACCATAATAAGTGAAGAAGGATTCATTATCCGAAATAGCAGTTTTTTATACTGCACAAAAATAGGAACACACAAGTATTCTTGCATCCCCTAGCTATACACATACAATGGACACCGCTGGAAGACAAAAATAGCGTTCTACAATTAGCAGCGCTATATCTTACCCGCAGAGCAGCCGCAGGTGCCTCGGCTGTTTGGTGTTGAATGTTGGAGAACTTTTACATTACAGTAAAAGTAAAAATAGGAATTAAAAGTGAGTGATACAACTTTTCCTATGTCATCAGCAATTAGGCGTGTGTGGATCGAAATAAACCAAAATGTGTACGCACTTGAGTGAATGCCACAAAATGTCACAACAGATTAATTCTACAGATTCATTCATCTTAGGGTCTCAGTCTCATATGCATCACCCCGCGAATGACTACACAGCTACCATACAGTGCACCAAGTTCCTAGATTGGTGTCATCTATAAGATTCCATTACGCATTTATTGAACGTATTCGAGAGCAACTACTTAATACAGAGTATGGAACACAGATGTTCAGTGCTTTTTGCAGTGCATATATACTACGCATTTGGCAACTACACCGCACCTGTGGAGGTGTGATATCTTCGCGAACAATAGGTTCTTTCAAATAAACAGCGAAAGCTTCATGCGAACAAAGAAATCTGGTAAGTAACGGTTCTAGTTTTTTTTTCAAATAAGCGTTTCAAATGACACTAAGGCACGTTGCGAGTGGTAAACGAACGGCTCCTGCCACTGCGAGCATAGTTCAATACAGGAAGGACCAGTAGGTACTTTCGGAAACAACACAGGTGAGAAGCGTGCGCATACCCTACATGCTCGGGGAGACTTTTCTGAACAGAAGAAAAAAAATATTCCGCAATTCTGGCAATACGTTTTCTCGAGAATCTTTTCTCGCTTGCAATTTGTTTCAAATAACATCAACTAGGATATTGCTGGTGTAGAAAAAAGATTTGAAAAGTAGAAGTTTCAATATTTTATTGGATTGAATTTTCTTAGTAAATTGGAGCAGCACAGGATAAACGTCACGATCGCATAATTATTCCCACAATATGAACCATATTACAGGGTCGTGTTTTTTGAGCTTGTTCAGCTTTGACTCCTCCAGTGATAGTGATTAACCATAAATGAATGCATTTGACGTCTTGTGCCATGCCATAGTGACAGACATCCGCATAATTTCAACGTGCATTAGAATTCGCTTTACTCAGGAACTGATAACATGCTTAAATGTGTACTGGCGTTTGCGCTCAGAATCCATGGACATGAGCTCTCATCTAGTCTCCTGTATTCATTCCAGCGTTGCCCCTTTTTCGATTCATAATTCATCGAAAACAGCTTGCCGACGTATATATGATTCTTAAGGTTGTGCCTTCGGTGTCATCACAACGGCACCGCTGCGGTTTCAAACTTAACACATGTGGTCAAGGCGCTTAGCAGCTGAAATAATTTACCATGTGGATTTTCAGTGGGTATATTGAATAGATATGCCTAACCTGCTCTGCTAGCCACCGGCCATGTGAAATGAGAAGATCCGAAGTTCGAAGCTCATGATGAAAAACATTTAATTCATTTCAGCGATGTGCATATACTACTGCATTGTTTCTGTCTTGAACCAATCTTCCATTGACACTCTTTAGGAATATGAACTTGAGTATTGTCAATGTCAACTGTATTTCTTTAACGGCATTAGTTGATATTGGAACTCGGGTCTTCATAATGAGTGCACATCTCTGTCACTGACTCAAAAAAGTGCTCAATCGGTACGCGTCACCCATAGTAGAACAAGTGCAGACATCGTCATACCCAAGGCCGATGGGTTTACACCCTCTCACGCTCGCAAGCTTGGAGGAAAGGTCACCGGCAGTTGTGGCTTGCAGACTGTTTTGGTCTCTGTCATGTCCAGTTGGGAAGTGAATATTGAATGGGAGATTGTGCCCTCGGTCATAAAACTCCGCTGGCGGCCTTTATAGGTGTCTGTCGCGAGGTGTTCCGCTCAGAGTACTGGGAGGTTGCTATAGGACACTTATGTACCGTAACAGCAGTGCCCCTCGGAATCCGGTATCTGAGAGAGAAAATGTTGGTGCTGGGTGCCGCTGTACCTCCGGGATGGTCCCCTTCAGAACCTGGGTATTCGAGGGAGGTGAGGGTGGTAAAGGACTCAGTTCCACTGTCTATGATTTGGGCCTCACAACTAGTATCCGTAGTTGACAGTGAGTTAGAGTAGGGGTTACTCCAAATAGTGCTTAATAGACTACTCAGCTTGGCACATCATTCTGACCAGGACTGCTGCCGGGTGCTTTCGTAGACATGCCATGCCTTGAGCACACAACAAAGATGGTTCAAGGCAATTATCCACTTTGGGTATTCCGGCCAGGTGTGGAGGGTGCGAACAACTTTATGGTATCAGTTCATCAGAAGACATCGCCTTGGAAGCCGTAGGACTTCGGTACTGCTGAAAGAGCTTCCCAGAGTGAAACGCTAGGGAAGAACCCGGATTGTGCCCATGTCAAGCAGCAGAGTTGGTCCTGAAGCTGCGTGTGGGAACGCCCGAGCTCACTGTTGTTGTTAGGTAGGCTGGCCTCAAGGCTTCGTGGGGTAGCCACAGCCAACATGGCACCTAATGCGCAATAATGTTGGCAAAAAGGCAGGACACAGATGGGAGCATGACACTATAAAGACGTTATTCGTGACGTGCTGTTGCCCGATGGTCTCCTGCAGCTCCGCGTCGCTGTCTAGTGGCTCACATGGAGAGCCAGGGCCGGCATGTGTGGTGGACGCTGCAACTCTGGTACTCAGGGTGGCACAACCAATAGGCAAGGACGCGTGACAACATCCGTAGAAGTCCGATCGAACGATTAAAGTCCAGTTCAGGGGATCTATGCAGACGGTAGAGTTAACCGTGTTACCAGGCGAGAAAAGCCTGTGCAATGCCTTTGCGTGAAATGTTTTCGTGGTGCCGATGATAGAAAGCTGGGCCACCTAAGACGTCTGGATGCCGTCCCTGGACGGTGTTCGCAGAGCCTGGAGATAGTGAGTCTACAAGGAGGCATAGACGCCTTTCTTTATATGATGGCACCGGAATGCTCAAGACACGCGAGCTCAGGTAGTGGTTGCCTCAAAGGCTTCGTTTTTGATGGTTGCGCCATTATCAAGAAACGACAGAGAAATAAATACAACGCCTGTTTCCGACAGCATCTGTTCAAATCTGCTTCATTCATCTCTTCTTGGCCAATGAAGCGAGCATGAACGCGCAAGTACTGGTTTCGCTACCTTTCCTGTTTCCGAATGCTCTCTCGCTCTATGCACTCGAGGTCTTCGTCTCGCTGTTGTTTTCCCGCGACCAACCGAAATTGACTTGTTCTACCAAGGTCCTTCTTCCTTTTCATTAAAAAACTGGTGAATAGTGGCATTTTCTATATTCCTGTGTCTCATACCCGTTCTTAATGACATGCGTTGATACCTGAGGGATTCTTCATATATATTTTAAGAAAAAACAGCTGCTGCTGTCTTCGAGAAGTATATTACACTCGGAAATTTTCTCACGTTTTGTAATGTAAAGGCTGATATTCAAGCGCCTTGTCTATTTTTGCCCTCAAACATCCGCAGCGGGGAAGAGGTTATTGAGCTCGACTACTGGACCGAATAACAAGGAATGGTAAGCCGGTCACAGCCGCCGCATTTAGATGAAGAAGGCAAACTAGTAAAGGTCGACGTTCTTGTATTTAGGTGCGCTTTAGCAACCTGAGGCGTTCAGAATTTCCGCAGGCCTCATGAACACCATCACTGACCAACCATAATAATATTTCTAATATTTACATTTTTTTTTCGTCTTGACTATGCACGGCTTGACTATGCACGGCTTGACTATGCACGGCTGACACCGTAGAAAAAACACATCGTGTGCCCGATTTAAAATGAAACACCTACCCCTATTTCATCATTTACAATCCTAAGAACGAAAGAATTTACAAATGAAAATACCAAGAAAACACCTATATTCACTTTATATAGTGCAGAAAAAGACAGACCAGTAACGCAAGTTACCTACAAAAGACGACGAAAATATTTCTCGAAATCCGTTCAAGACTACTGACTAATGAAATAAAAAATTGTGTCCAGAGTGCAAAACCACTGTTGGAAGGTCATTTTATACACCTGTGAAAACTGAAAGTGTAGGTGAGGTTAATAGGTTGTATTTTACCAGATGAGTGTAATAATCAATCTTACACTCAGTTCAGCCAATCTGTATATAACGTCTTGAGGAACAACGATAAAGCATTTATTCAGCCACAAACATAAATAAAGCAATACAAATAAACAATGCAATAAACCCAGTCGTGAAAACATGAAATATAAATAAAAAAGCGAAAGCACGCACAAAAATACAATCAACGCAATAGGAGAGAATAAAAAGTCACAAATTCGCCGCAAGGACAAAGCAATGAACGCGATAGCAACAAATTGAAAGGTCACGTGCATAATAGGAAGCATATCAAAACGTGCCCGGCGTTTCTCACGCACAAATGACGCACGAACCTTACAAGTACGGATGCACGCGAATAGTTAAGCATTTCATTTTGTTAAGTTACTGTGTCATAAAAGCGTGCGCTTTTCGCAAACAGAGACTGCAATAATCCCAGTGGCCTTTGTGCACCCGGAAACTACAGCACAATCATTCCAGGTAAAGTCCGAGGCCAGCTAAGGCATACGATCCTCCCCGCCTCGCCACCGCGAGATAAGGGTGCGCGAGGGAGCGTCACTCCCCTTCTCTAAGCCGGGCAAAGTACGCGTAGAAGATTAGAGCGGGCGCCGCCGCACGATGTGGTGACGCGCGCTCATTGTGCGATCTTTCAGGTAATGCTGAAAACGCAATTCCCTCTGAAATGCTTGTGAGCAGCATTAAGTGGTAAGTATAAATAGCTTGCTGTTTGAACGTTGAAGGACGTGCTCTGGGGTGGGTCAGTTGTTAACACCTCACTTTCCTGACGCAGAGGTCCCACGTTCGGTTCCGCGCGCCAGAGCGTTTATTTCCTAATTTTTTTCTGTGCGTTTTCATATATATAGATACGAATACATGTATGGTGCGTGACATCGGCGCTGACGCCCACGCTGACTTCGGTGGCAAAATCCAGCCGAGAATCTGCATACAATTGCTATCGCAATAAAAGACAATGTTACAATCATTGAATTCGAGGGAAAAATAATGTGGAACGTACAGAACTATATAGAAGGCTTTCTTAAGGAAAGAAAGATCAGTACATTGTGAACAAGTAGCTTAAGACAGTGCAAAGCTCAGATAATAACAAAAACTGTGAACTATGAAAAGATCAAAATCAACAAAGTTAGCATTACAGAGACCTTGCAATATGTAAACTGGCAGGTACATCAAATGGTTGCTTATTTCTTAGACTTATTACTTGAATTATTACAATTAGGAAGTAAAGAGCTGGACAGCATATCGTGAGCCAGCTTGAAAAAATAACAGGCCGGGAATAATATTATTAGGATAAATATAATAATAATAATAGAAATCAACACAAAATGTTTCCATAGTGCACTTTTCGCGCTAAATTTTGGTGCCTAAAGCTACCTCTGCCGTCTGTGCCAGGTGGCACCCGTTGCACCACACTAAATGCTTGAGGTGGCATAAGTATCCCTGTACTAACTGTCTGAACAGCTGTCTGTAACAGCTGTCTGAACACTTTCTTAATTATCAGTCAGCGAAAAACTGCACGTGTTTTCCAGAATTTAGATCGCGCTCCAAAATGGATGTTTGCCATTATCTCCCAATTGTTCTACTATGTGCCAAGTTGAAGACCTTTGAGCTTGCTCTTGACAAGTTATTGTATTTCACCTTGACAGAATATTGATTCCTAATTGACACTAGTTTCGACTACTCTCCGATTGGCTGCTGCACGCGCTACTTTACAATTCACTGCTTCACGCACTTCGCCAACGAGTGCCTCTCTCAGTCACTTAGATAGTCGCCGTGCGTGGAGGATTGTTGGTGGAGCATAATGGATGGAGCAGAGTGGTGGGTGCGTTGAAGTAGATTGCGCTCGTCTTGCTTGGCTCGCGTCTCGGTGGTGTTACCTGCGAGCCATCTGCATTCTATAACGCGATCGAACATGCGCGAACGAACGAACACACGGAAGAAAGAACAGATGGACGCTTCGCCCCACTCATCATCATTCACTCAGTAGATAGGCTGTGATTTTTTTATGAAGACTATATTGTACTCTTCATTTTTATTGTTTTGTATTTGGGTGCGCCTGCAGAAGTATTCTACGGTTGTTCAAGTAGACGTTAAATAAACTTTTGAATGGTTCAGTATTATAGGAGGGGAAAGGGTTTACGTCTCAAGACTACGATATGGTTTTAAGGAACTCCTTGTTGAAGGGCTTTGCTAATTTTGATTATCTGGCATTCTTAGTTTGACTGATACCCCACAGTACACGAGCCTCTATAATTTCACCTTCATAAAAAGGCGACTTACGCGGCCAGGTTCAGACCCAACTGACCCCGACCTCTGCTCAGCAGCGAGTACCGTTAGCACTGTTCAAGCGCGGTGCACAGTATATGAGCGTGAAGCACAGCTTTCTGTTTAGGCCAGTGGTCGCAAAGTCACCTCACTCTGCAGGCCACAGTCCCCTAATTCGTTCCTCAAAGTCTGGAGCAGTGATGTTTGTTATGGCGGAAGAGAAAGGGAACGGTGGTGAATCAAATATCACTTAACCACGTAATTCGGAAGAGTGGCTTTCCCAAATCTAAACATAGGTCCTATTCGAAGGGAATTTGTCTCCGGAATCAATAAGATAAATAAAGATTTTAGGAAAGGCTAAAATCTGGATGCGAATCTTTATTTCAAAATATTTTTGCACTGTGAAAGCCTGGGGGCCCCATAGGCCACCTCAAAGAAAAAGTCTTTACATAAGACCTTTCTCTGCGAGTAATCCGCGCAAAGCGTTATTACTCGCAATTGGAAATAAAATATTGCAATTCCACTTGACAAAGTTATAAAACTGTATTCCTTGTGAGACCACCGCCCACAGTTGCCCGGTTTCCGGGCCACATGAAGGGCATGTAAGCAGGCTGTTCGAAAATGCCCGTGCGCAAACCTTCGTTTTATGCATTATCACGACTGTTGAATGCTTAAGAAAAATGCCAGCAACTCACTTAACACTCTGACGCTAAGAACAGGAGCGGTGTAGGGTTAATATGATAATAAAGTGCATTTTTTCTGCTTTTATGTGTACACTTTGTATGTCGCGTCTTCGTGTGACTGACAAAACGTCAATGTTTTTACAATAGGGCGAGCCTCCCGAGTAGAAGAATGAAATATGAAAACTTTTGCGTTTGGCTGACGTGCTTTTTCGCCCTTTTATGCCTTGGAGAACGTGAGTACTGGAATAAAGTTTGTAATAATATGATAGATACCCACTTGTGTAATATCCAGTGGCGCTGTCTCTGCACAATAAATGATTATTGGACCAGTGTGGTGCTGTATACAGGGGCATCGACATACTCCGCAACGTATGCTGGACGCTGGCGTGCTGCAAACTGAGACATCCATTATAGGCTTAAATGAAGCTTTTTAATTGCTTTTCAAAATGGTGGCCATGGCTGCATGAACTCAAAGCTGGAACACTTGCGCTGCGAGAAAAAAAGACTTCTGTATAAAATAAGAGGAAGTCTGACCCAGCAAATCGACGCACCACACATTCGAAATCAGAGAAATTACCGCTGCACAACATTTGAAAGACAGTATCCATCCTGTTTTTGATGCACATATTCCTAGACATGAAAAATGTTTTCTTTAGGGCTTAACAGAAGACAGTTTGTTTATTGTGTACTGCCTATGAGCAGAACGTTTAAATAGCCCATTTTTCCGCAAGACATAGGAGCGCCATAACGCACATACATTGCGGCAATACGACAGACTCGCTAAGAATTTAGACATACTTATAAGGAAAATATCTAGCATCTGAACTGCTCACTGGAGGTTTTAGTTTCCGTCACCCATTTGTAAATATGTTCGGTCCTCCTTGTTCATGTTTTGACACGTTAGCCGGTATGGTTCACTCTAGCATAGCTGACCGTTAGGCTTACAGCTGTATTTAGTGCGCCACGATCACTGTAATAATCATTTATATTGAATTTAAGTAATGCTACAACTATTGAAAAACAGTTTTGATCAGAATTGGTAGAAACAAGGCCATATTTTAACCTTCTACTACACAAATTAGAAGCTTGACGCCGTGATTCGGTGATATGCCTAATTGCTGGCAATGACGTGCGGCTTTTTTGAGTTCAAGCTCATGTGGAAGTTCTCACTGCAGGAGTAGATGATTCATTGCCATATTGCGTCGCGCACGATCAGGTCGTTCGATGAGTTTACATGAACTAGGCTAGGGTGGAGTAAAATGAGACAGTGGGCGTAACGCGACATTTTGATTTAGCCGGCCGCTGTGGCAAATAGAAAACTCCTGTATTTGTGCTCTCTTTGCCACCGATAAGTGCTAGCCCTAGATTTCTTTTTAAAGTGTAAAAGTTGATGATTTCTTACAGAGTTCGCTCGGAAAAAAAATTCACGGCTAGTAAAAGAGGCAAAATTCTACTCGACCAAACTTTTGGATCCGTGCATGAAGCTACTTGTGCATCAGTACAGCAACAAAAACATTTCTTTTGTTGCTTGAGACTGCGATCTACTTAACAAGAAAATATTTGTGCGTTAGATGCCTGGGGACAAAGGGAATTTCCTTTAATTGTGGCATGTGAGATGGAAAAGACGCCAAAAAAGGAATTCAATTGCCTTCGTGAGTGTCCTAATGATTGAACCATTAACTTAGATTCACTATATAATATAGTTGCTCCTTTAGCAGGATTTTCATTTAAAAGACAATATCGCCTAAAACTTGCTGAGAGAAAACGGCATGAAAAAGGAGTGATTGCCGCTCAGAACAGAACTCCATTTATTCACGTTGATCGAAGTTTTTCCATGTTCATAAGGTAGCACTCAAGAGACGCATAAAATACGGCCAAAGTTCCAAGTCAAGTCGTTAAAACGGAGGAGTATCAGCCAGGGGAGGGGGCAAAGGGGCGCAAGCCCCCTCACTGAAAAAATTCACCCCCCCCCCCACACTTTCGACAGTAGTCACTGTCAGCTGCACGCTGGGGCAAACAACTAAGGCAAAATTTTCCTTCGTTACTGTAACCACTCAATTGAATGTTACGAGATAAAGAAAATGTTATGAAGCAAACGTACAATGCAGTGATAATTTTTCAACATTACAGCAGCGAAAATTTTTCTTGAAGACTACTTTCGACGCTCACCACCCGGTGATACAGCGCTGCAGAGCAGGCTAGTGCTGAACAAGGGCCCTATACTACTGCATAACTTGTTTATTTTTTATTCTGCTGCGACTGATTGATGCGGTTAAAGATGAGAAAGAACAAACTTTTCTATGGACCGGTCAAAACATTTGCTGCTTCAGCAAAATTATTTTCTTTCATAAAAAAGGATTACCGTCACCGCTGCTCTGTCGAAGCGGCTGTGAGCACATGATTGCGAATAATCTTTTTAAATGATTTAGTTTTGCCGTAGTGAAACCGCAAGAAAGGTTTTCGCTTTAATCTCCGATAAATCTGATCAACCTTGCTTATGGCAACTTCGAGCAATGGAGGCAGCTTGCAAAGCGGCGACGAATAAAGCAGTGGAGTAATGCTGAGTGGGAAGCTAAAATAAGTAGATATAAGTGCTCAAAGTACCCTTGGTTCTTCTAAGAGTGCTCTAAATCTAAACACTCAATTCTTTGTGAGCTCTTTTAGTGATTGAAATTTCATTCAGTGATAACTTATGTACTGTTGAGGAGGCCACCATCAATATATTTCATGCGGAAAGTTGTGAGGTAATGCATAGAAAGCGTCAAGTGTAATATTATTTCATGCATCATACATGACCAACATGCATGTATTGTCCCAGTGCATGCTGTGTAAAACTGACTGTCCTTTTTTACGCTATAGAACAAGTGGTGTGTGTATAAAAAATCACATGAAAGTTCGAGCGCATCAAAAAAGTTGTCTCTCTCCTAATATATATATATATATATATATATATATATATATATAGATACACGCCGGCTGAAAATTGCGTGGTAGGTTAAGGTGTGTACGCCACTGCAGAGTTCACAAACATGTCTTGGAATTGAGTTTTAACGACCTTTCTCCAATACTCTAATCAAAATAATACTCTCGAGAGTCTGAATCTATCACAGTTTTAAATTCATTCTCTCACGAAGCCCCACGAACAAAACTACAAGCCAGAAAAATCCTCAGCAGCTCATTATCAAAATGTCAAAAAGAGGTGATGAAGATAATTCAAAAGATATCTGGCCTCCTGTTGTTCAATATTCTAATGAGGTGAGAGCATTCAAGTAAACACGGCATTTGTGCAAAAAAAAAAAAAAGAGTGGCGGTGTTTGATCTGCAAGAAGAGTCAGAGCAGCTCGACACCTGGATCACTCTAGATTCAATGCGTGCAGTGCAAGGACTGGGATGCTTAAAACTACGTCAAGACCCGCAGAATGATTTTCAAGTTTTTTTTTTACTGCAGAACCTGAAGGACTAATTTTTTTCACATTGTTTCGTACTGCCTCACGCAGCGCCTTGTTTTGCCCTGCAGATTGGGGCACCACGAGACATTTCGAGTATTGCATATAAACTTTTGAAAATTGTTTTAAATAGTTAAAACACGGCAATATTTATGTAGTGCATACGTTGTACCCAAAAAAAAAATTTCTGCATTGATGGTAAATTGCAAGGAGTAAAATAAAAAAGTCACAGCTTTGACAGAATGGCGAATCGATAAATGCGACACGAACAAATTGGCAGGTCACACGCAGAATTGCAAACGTATCGAAACAGGGTCCGCCTTTATCATGTAATAATGAAGCACAAATCGTACTCACATGTACAGGTGAAGGCGAACAAGCGTATAAGTTGTTACTTCGCTGTCTCTGTAAAGCGGGCTCTTTTCGCAAAGGTGGACTGTCCAGCAATTGTAGGCCGGTAACTAAAACAGAATCGTTCGGGTAAAAACCAAACGCCCGCCAAAACGTACGATCGTCTCCACCTGGAAATAAGTTGGCGTGAGCGAGCATCGACCCGGTTCTCATTGCGGGGCAAAGTGCGCATGAGAGATGAGAGATCGGCCGTGTCGTCGTGATGATGCTGCTACGCACACTCATTGTGCCATCTTGCACAATGGTCCCCCCCCCCCCCCAAATGGCCGTCAGAAGTGGTAAGTAGTACATAAAAATAGGTTATCCTTCGACGGTTGAAGGACGTGTCGCACTTTTGATTCATGAATGTCGCACTCACGATTCAGAGAAGCCAAGTTCTATTCCGCGCCGGAGCCTCTTTTAGATTTTTTTTTATTTCTTGCGTTTTCAAATATAGAGATACGTATACATATACTGTGAGCGACGGCACCGCCCACGTGGACGCCGCTGCTGGCGGCCATATTTAGCTGAGAAAGTCCATATAAATGCTATCACAACAAAATAAATGTTTGCTACATTAAAATTTTTGTCGAGTTTCACTCCCCCCTTTCTTACATCACGACACTTCATAACATACAACAGGGAGAGTGTGCAAGCACATGCTCAACAGAATATTTCTGTAGGTCATAAGTACATGAGACAAGAGAAGCTGAACTTTTGTGTAGGCCAGAAAACTGAATAACATTCTGAAAATCTTCACTATATTTTAAGCTCTACATCTGGAAGTTGAATATCAAATCTTAGAGAATGTCAACTCAATGTGTCTCAATGTTCAGGGTATGCGGGCAGCCAATGCAGACCCTAGCCACCGCCTGCCACTGCTCTCTATGTCACTGGCCGACACCATTAGGCTGTATTCTAGTGCCACCCAGAGCTCTCACACTCACTAGTAGGTACTTCAAAACCCTTTGTTTTTGATAGCGGTAGCTCCGAATGTGAATAAAACATCTAATACAAGGGCAGCTTGTGGCACGTGACGATGAGTCAGCAAAACAAAAATGAGAGATAATTGGAAGGGATTTTTCAAAGCGCAACGCAAAACTCGTTCACAGAGTGCACCCTTGCTACGTGATACTTCTGTTCAAACAAAGAAAAAAATCGCGAACAAGAATATATTGTTTACAGTTATAGAAGAATGAAGTCTAGGTATCATACTGGATAGATCTAAATGAATAACCAGCAAGTAAATTAAATCTTCATGGTGTGAGACTTCTTTCAGACGCATAAACAGGATAGCGGCACAGTATCTCTTTAATAGACAAATAGAAAATGCTACACAATAGTTTTTTATATGGTGACTTACTACAAGACGTACGAGCGGTTTTAACGCGATAGCG